AAAAAATTTCAAATAATCGGGAAATCAGTATAGGGAATGTTTGGAGGAAATGATAAGAATGATGAAGTTGCTAGGAAACTGTGCCAGCTCTATATCCCAAGGGGTGATACCGGCTTGCTGCAATGACAATATCTCTACTTGGATTGAAACCTTAAAACATGAAATAATATGATAACTGGTTTCCTTTTTTCTGTCTCCCTAATGGCAGGCATCCGGTGAACAAGTAACAAAAGTACTGAAGTCACTAAGATCTGGAAAACTGATAGAGATGAACATGTACATGTAGGAGAATTTCGCTCGGGAAAGGAAAAATTAAGTTATCGAGTACAGATGTGAACTGAACTGAGCCTTATCCCACCTCGAGTAGAGAAAACGAAATAGAGTAGTTAATGATATACACCCAGTAAACTACTGCTTTAGATGGACACTGCGCGTCTTACCATTCATGGGTGAACAATGCGAGACGAAAAAGAAATACGAATGTCTGGAAAAATTGTAAAGTTTGCCATTGGACAAATTCTTGTACACGTTTTTTGGCACAATTTTTTCCACATTCCATTCTCGATGGTAACACCTCTTTCCCACATGATTGCCTGCTGGTCAAAATATAATGAGGCTTGGAGTAAATTTACTGAATGGTAACAAATCCCTCCTAAGAGAAGTTGACAACTACCGAACGAACTGACAGATCGAAACTGACCAATCACAGTTTACAAACGCTACTGGGCTCTAACGGCTGATAAAATCACGGCAAAATGACGAAATTACTTTCTGCGAATAAGACTCGTTACACTTGATTGACACATACTATAACTCCTCACTGGACTCTGATGATCAGTTGCGTCGAGTTGAAGAAAAATGATTCACTGCCACTGGCAACTGTTCTCTTCAGGACTCATCTCACGTGGACTATTGTAAGACTTGACTTTTTATATGAGCTAATTAAATTCAAAGAACGAACAGACATCTAATATGTGAATTTTGGGTCTTATCGACTACCATAGTCAGTGTACAGCTTGCATTATACTTCAAACATTGTAGGTGGTTACATTTGTAGTAAAACTGTCAGAACTACTTCTAAATAATACCTTTCATAAATCGAATCGAACTCTCCAAAACTTACTCGCTTTCATAAACAACAACCGAATTTTAATGACACACACAAAATCAAACAGGATTGAAATATTCAACCGAACTTGTCACCCGCGGTGAGAAATCATATCATATATATGAAAATAATTCTTACAATAGCATTACTCTCAATGTTGTGTTTGCTGAGATCAAAACTTAAAACTGTAAGTGTGTAACACATCCAGCAGTCTTTTGGAATTACTTCAACTCGGCTTCAGTTTTGACAGGGTTACCAGGTCCCTCAGCCAAGACAAGCGCAACTTTCTACGGTGCGGACGCTGAAGTTTTTTCCCCCAGCAGTGATGAAGGAATGCGCCTTGGAGCGTTTAGTAATGCACCTCATTTTGCTGTAACCAATAAGATTGTTCCAAATTCCTTTTGGCGTATTAATCCTAAAGAAAGAAAAAATAAACGATTGATTTATGGACAATTCCTTAAACGTTTACATTTATTAAGGCGCTAATTAAATTTTTGGACCTTGAGAGTGGTTGCTTACTTCGAGGTGGGCGCTTGTTTAACTTTCAAAACGTGAAGATGTACCATAGACAGATAATTTAGAGATTTTTTTGCCAGTATTATATGCAAATAATCAATACTACTCATGTGCACTCCAGTCTTTTTCTTCGGGGGAAGGGGGCGGTGTGGGCGCTTCAGTATTCGAGGCTGGGCGCCTATCAAGTTTTCTTACTTACCTGGTATAAATATGGGTATTACATTGGGGAAGGTGGGCGCTACATTAAAGTATGGATATATTGAAAGATTTCAGTATTCATTTCTGAATATCTTGAATAATTCCGTGGATACAATATCTGTGCTTAAAAGTGGTACGTTCAAAGAAATCTGTAAAGGAAACAAATTTCGGAAATTTAAAAACTCAAGACCTTTCTAACTCAAAGCTCAGTATGATAATAAACGAGTAGTAAAAAGTACTACGGTTTTAATAAGCTGTGATTCACTTTTTTGTTTAGTTGTTTATAACTACTGTGAGACAACTTTGCTTTGCAAGCCTGGATGTTCGCCACCTTCCTACATGGGAAGACGTTTGACCGTTGTGATGGTATCACTTCACTGAGTGATCGATTGATTGATTGATTAATTAAATAATCGATATTTATTATATAAACACCATTGAGATACCAATAGATCTTTCGCGCGAAAACATGATGTCTTCACACGTGAAGATAACATCTTATCAGGAACAGTATTACTTCTGACATCTGAAGAGCAAAGCAAAAGTATTTTCAAAACAAGATCAAAGAAGCTAAAAATAGCCGAGATTACTGGAATATTCTTAATTCTGCCACTAGGCCGGACAATGTCCAGAAATCAATAGTAGGTCCTTTAAAGCGATCTGATAAAAGCGTAATAGTTAATGACCAGGAGAAGGCTGATGTCATGAACACGTTCTTTGCCAACATAGGAGAGCAACTGACAAATGATATTCATGGAACAACAAGTCCAATAACAGGTACAATAAGTCCCATAATGACAAAGAACATTGCGGATATATCTCTTTCATTTAAAGAGGTAAACACAAAATTAGACAAGTTGAAGAGTAATAAATCACTTGGTATTGACAACATCCCATCACGACTAACAAAGCTTGCCCAGCCAGCATTAATTAAGCCCCTCTACGACTTATTCAAGTATTCTATGGAAACGACGTATTTTAGCACGTGAAGGACAGCACGCCTAACTCCAGTATTTTATCATGATGATGAGTCAGACATAGGTAACTACAGGCCTATTTCTTATCTCTGTACGCATAGTAAGATATTGGAATCCTGTGTGACTGACACGGTAAAGAGCCATGTTATCAGTGAAAATTTGATTACAGACAGACAGTGGGCATACCACGCAGGGCATTCAACAGAGCTACTTTTAATTCATCTCACAGAAATATGGCGAAAAACAATTGATGAAAACTCGGTCGTAAGAGCAGCTTTCGTAAATTCCAGAAAAGCGTTCGATTGCGTTTCACATCCACTCCTATTACACAAGCTACAGTATCAGTTTGGAATGACTGGAAACATCTTGTCATGGGTAACTGATTACCTCACAGAGAGTAAGCAGTTCACTATTGTTAACGGGAAGACTTCGGATACTGAAGTCGTCAGGTACGGAGTACCACAGGGGTCGGTACTGGGACCACTCCTTTTTGCCCTATGTACCAGTGACGTGCCTTCATCAATTAAGAGAGGTACAGTCTACATCTATGCAGACAACACAACCGTTTACATCATCGGTAAATCTATTGATGAAGTTACAGCAAGTCTTAACCTTGCCTTGTCTGAACTGTATGCATGGTGCATTGCCAATTCCTTAATTCCTCATCCAACTAAATGCGAAGCAATGCTCTTTCACAGAGGATCTTTTCATGGCCCCATAAACTCTCTTAACATTGGTAAAAAACGTCGTTAAGTGGATTAATAGTACAAGACCTCTGTAACACGACTACACAAGCCTCTGGCTTTAAATATTTATCGTGTTTGAATAAAGTTTTATTTTATTGTTGTTATTATTATTATTATTATTATTATTATTATTATTATTATTATTATTATTATTTGCACATTCGATATGGTATGGTCACGCATAAAAATCGCGCCTTTCGATATTGAAGTGAAATGATTTGGTATTTCATTGGTGTTCATAGTATAGATAGCATGTTACATGGCCGTGAGGAAACGGTCCACTTGGGAAACATTTTTTAACAATCGACAAAATAATCATCCATGCAAATATCGCGGGTTATTTGTACTCGTTTTGCGTGTTATTTGTACTATTTTTAGTTACGCTGGATAATAAATTTAATTTTGGATAATCCCTAGAAATTTTATTTTATTTTAATAATGGTTGGTTGGTAAACACCTTTGGTTGCCTGTGGGAAGTTTCTTGAGGCATCGAGAGTTACCAATGCATTTTCCAACGTCTATGATCTATAATATCAAGATATTATTTAATCACTTCACCAAATTCCACGACATCAACAGCGCACTGCTCCTCTTCCAGTGTGGTAAAAAGGCAACAGCTTTGTTTTTCTTTGTTAGTCCTTGATTAAAAGTTGTCAAATCAGGGGAATGTTTACCTTGGTTCGCATTGCCTTGTTTCCATGGGAGTCAGTGTACTGTTCTGGAAATCCCTCGTAACGTGACACTCGGTAGCATGAAGGCTCCACACATGCACAGTCCACAATAATTACGAGGCATCTATCTCCTAGAGTACAGAAAACATAGACGTTTTAAGAGCGATCTTCAGAAACGCATCTTGCACTACTGCTTTATGATTACTCAGAAAAAAAATTTTTAAAAAAACCTTTTGCGGGTAGGGTATTTTACGAATCTTACCGTTTGCTGAAGAAATACTTTTTGTTTTCTTGTCAAATGACTGGCATTTAGTGTTTCTATGGCATTGTCCACTACAAATTCCAACGTCAATCGTGACCTCAAATTTAGTTCCGTTGTAATACTTAACCAGGCGTGGGAGCCGCTGACATCCGTTACTTGCCGACTGACAGCTCTCTATGATCTCCTTCTCAATAATGACCGGTGCCATGGCGTAATTGCGATGCTCGGTCAGTTCATAAGGGAGGCATGTATTGTTCTAAGAGATTACATCAGGAATGAAAAGAAGAGTAATGAACACTCGGTAACTATTACTAACAAAAATTTAGAATTTTTTTTTATCATGACCATCAAGATTCCTGTTGCGTGATAGTTGTCGGGGGTAAAGTCCGCATCCACTTTGACGCATAGAGAGCAAATAGGCTAATAATCGTATTGTTTTACTATGCACTGACCACTCCTTCGAATCTTACTGACTACTTTATCACTGAATTATACTTCAGGGTTCCCTAAAGAGAATCCGATCTATTCCGCACTTAATTACAAACCTCCATAATTTTCCAAAAAGTTCAATGGGAGCCTTATGGCGACCCGAACTATGAGACAGCTTGATATTGATAATGAGGTAAAGAAATATCTAAGGCTTTCATACGAAGCTTAGGACTCATTTCAAAATAATCAAATTTCATTCTGCAGATTCATTGACGTCTCGTTCGATTACTTGGTGGATATTTTTCCTACTCCCGGCTCAGCTTCGGAAAATAGCTTTAAACGAAGGTTTCCATGGTCAGTGCATCGAGTTCAAAGCCGCGTTTTCTAGAATTTTCGGAAACAGAGTTTCAGAGTAACTCAATTCCACGAAAAAAATCTGACTTCAGCTCCGATTGATTGGTTCTCACATTTTCCACGTGACTACAGAAATTTGAGCGGGAAAATAAGACGCGAGCCGCCCAGTAGTTTTTCATCGATGTACTGGAGATTTTACACCTTGCAGCATATTTCTTTAAGAAAAAAATTGTCTGTCTTCATTAATCGCCGAGGGTAAGTCAAAGACTACTTCAAATGCGATTTCTCTGAATGATTAATGATAATGTAGAGTTTTATGCAAAGGTGGTGAAACGTTTTGAAACGCGGGGGGTTGGGGAGCTTATCTTTCACCCAGCCATGCGCATTCCCTACTCAAATTTTCCAAAATGCCCTTTGCGTTGTTCGTTGGCACAAGCAAACCTCTTTGGAAGATTTACAGCCTCGAGTGTGTCCGTAATTATAATCGGTTTATGATTTAATTTCATTTTTTCCAGCACAGTCTAAACTCCTTCAGTAAAAATAGTAATAGTAAAAACGTAAGCCCTAATATACGCTTTCTTTCAAGAGATATCAAGAACAAGTTTAATATATCAACTTTAATATATCAAGAACAAGTTGAACTTTTCAAGTAATCCTCTTTTCAAACAATTGGGTCCTGGTTGTCAGACCTCGCAAACAACTAACCGCGTCTTTAAAATAATATGCTACAAGACAAGCTTTATCAATAAATGGGGACCTGACTTGAGATGATCTAAGTAAATGAAATAACAGAGGACTCTTCCCCAAATTTTTCTTTAAGTAAAAAAAATGAGTGGTGATTGTCCCGTGAGACTTTTCTAAGCTCGCAGTATCAAAAGTAAGTCCCTTTACCGTGGTGTTATCCTTTGCACATTCTCCAACGTCCACCATAACTTGTTCCAAGGCCCCCTCTTGCGACCCCCCTAAAGAGAAGATAAAACAAGTATAACTCAGGAATCGTTACGTTATCCATACTAATAATATGCTGATATCGATAATAATAATACAGGAATTGACTCACTATCCCATGGGATGTTTCGGTGCTACAGCAAGCAAACAACTAAACAAATCTTGCAAACAAACATAAAAAGGTAGCAAATTGAAACTGTTCGAGGGGGTAGGTTATACAGTTTATGTTTCTAGAGCGTAGCTAAGAAGTTTGACCAGGAGAAACCGAGGAAAGTCCTCCACCTTAAGTTATGACGTTCATTAAGCTAGTGAGGCACCTTCTTGAAAGATCGTTATAATTATTTCTGATGAACGAGGCGGTCCTCTAGTTAAGTTAAACATCATGTTCTCTGGTCAAGTCGATAATAGTCACTAATGGTAATTATGATGTCAATAAACAACCCAAATGGCATTAAGAAATGAAAATTTATGACGATAGTGTTAACAAGTCCACGCATTTATGTCTTTCAAACTAGAACATGTAAACCGTTAACTCATTTGTTGTGATTGATTGTACTAATGAGTACGCTGATAAGTTAATTTTCATCCTCTACTGAAATAAATTGGTTTGCACAGAATCTGTAATTTGAAATAGAGTTTGTTCACAACCGTTAATTGAGGCAAGTGTACATCAATAGTCGACTAACAACGCGACTGGGTTCATTTAACAATATAGTACATGTCAGGTCCTCTGTAGGTTATTTACGTCGGTATGCGACCAGCTCGAAATTCTGTTTGCGATAGCAGGTGTTCCTGTTTACTTGCACTGCTTCCACTGAAAGTCAAAAGAGAGAACAGGCAGTTAAGACTACATGTGGCTACTGATATAGCACAATTTTTTTTATAGCATTGAAAAGAACCAGGGGTTGTATGATAATGCCAGAAGGAAGTGTTGCAGAAGATTTGTCTCGCATGTAAAACAGAAAACCTGCCGCATCCCACATACTGAGAGCCCTGTTCCATAAGAGCAAGATGATTGAAAAATATGGTAAATAATTTACGCTCAACCACTGATTAGATGGTAAAAAATTATCATATTAATAATAACAGAAATAATAATAATGATTATGATAGCAAAAGTAATAGTATTGATAACTTATGAGGGCTAGCTCAAGAACCTTACTTTTCCTCTGTCGGTCTATCCCTAGTCTCCAATAATGATTAAACCAGCCTTCCTTTAATAGTGATTTGCCTGTTAATTATAAATCATTTCCCTTTTCATTGCAATTCCATTTTTGTGAGACTTTGTTTCATACAACGAGGCACTCCGCGTTGTAGAATATTCCGCCATTCCGCCATT